GGGGGGGGGTGTAGAACGCTGATGAGATTCCTGGGAGTTGGGTTGGGTATGATGTGTTCAGGCCTGTACGCACATTATGGTTCTGTGTGTAGGTGTGCCGCCGGGGGGGGTCTCCATACCTTAGGGTTATCCAGCAACTGTTGCCAGCTGTCCTCCAAGGAAAGGTTGATCTCCCATTCCTCCTCCCAAGAGTCCTGGTGAAAGGTAATCTGGGGGGGCACCTTGGGCAGGCCGAACAGTGTGTAGGAGTGCAGCTTGTTCTGTAGCTGCTCCACTCGTTCCACCTCCTGATGGGGGGGGGGGCATGTCATGAGCTGTAGCCCCGAATAACCCATAAGCCCAGACAAACCCCGATATTTGTCCAGCTCAGATGTTTTAACAACCAGTCTCTCCGTTTGAGAATTCCATACATCACACTGGTCCCTAGTCCAGGTCTGCATTTCCTGAAACGATTCCCCAAAGAATTCAATATGATGAACCTCAGACAGACTAGGTCTCTGGGCTAAGCGGCCGATGTCTTAAGATCCCAGTGAAGCCCCTAGGGTCATTCGTTGACTTTCTCTTCTGTTTTTATCTCTCAGATGTCAACAGAGCAGGATTTACAGATGACCTAAAAATCCCTTTATACACTGGTATGTTCATACTTATGGGTCTGAAACACTTCCAAAATCCAAACAAAAAGCATGCAACACAGTATCTTTGGGTGAAATAACTGACCACCAGACTGGAACCCAATTCACTAAATGTAATCCCCGAAAAGCATTCCGCTACTAATAAACTTGAAGGAAATGATCTCAAAGCAGGAGGTCCTCAAGATAGGTCATTAGATAAACAGACTTCACTCACCTTGCCAATTGTATTCGTGCCTGTGCCGGTGCCGAAGAAGACACTGAGTCGGCCGGTGGTCCGGTTCTTTCGGCTCTCCTGGTTCAGGGAGGGGGTGCCGACAATGGGCAGCTGGGGCCCAGCGTCCGAGTACGGGATGCTGGCATCGCCCAGGAAGGCTGGCAAGTTCTTCCTGGGCCGAGCTTGACCCTGAAGTGGCTGAGGGAAGGAAGGAAGGGGTTAACAGGTTTAACGTGACATCAACGAGAACAGGACTGGTCGCAATCAGATGGGTCTGTCAGTAGGGGGCGAACACAGGGGAAGGAAGAGAGCATTCCGGAGCAGACGAAAATGACATCAATAGGACAATAGGAGCGAGAGACGGCACCCCCTGAGCGGCGGTCCTGACCTCGAGAGATGGCAGGACAGACAAAAAGGAAACGGAGTCAATTTCTTAAAGTGACGGGACATTTATTGCTCGAGTACACTTGCATGACAGAAAACCCAGATGTGATCCTTAAGTAAGATGCTATATGAGTAACACAGGAGGAGGACATGGAACAGAGAAGGAAAAAAAAATACAGGAGTTCCAGAATGAAAAAGATAGTTGCGGAATGAGTTGGGGCTTGGGGTAGGGGTGGTGATAGCTCCCAAGTGAAGAATGACTTCATTAGGAAGACTAACAAGGAAAAGGAATGTAAGGGGAGACACAGAGATGAGACATCCATTACATCATCTATTACGCCTTCTCACCAGTACAAACCAACACTCTCCCATTGTCCTATGTATATTGTTCCTCCATTACAAACTGTTACAGAAACACAAAATTTTCCAGTGCTAATAAAGCACAATCTTCTGATCTAAAAACTATGGTTCAGGCATCATTTTCAGATTCATTTGTTCTCAGAAATATCAGGACACCGGCACCCACCTGAATAAGGAAATAGAGTATTGTGATGTGTAAGTTAGGAGTTCTGTTTGTCTGCAATATTTGGGTCATAGAGTGAAAATGCAGCAGGAGAATCATTACAATGGAAAGGTCTACAGTCAGGGACTCAGGAACAAGGACATGCTAAAGGCTGGCTTCATTTTACAGGTTTGCAATCTACTCCCAAAACAACATGGGGGGGGGATTTCCAGACAGCATTGTTGAATTGCAAGATCACCACAGTCACCTCCACAAACACGATTCCTGAAAATGGCACCCTTTACCTGGAAGGACCCTGACCTGAAAATGGCACATGTTACCAGCAGTGGCGTGAGCGGGTTTTTATCGTGTGTAAGCAATGGCAGCTCAGCCTGAAGTGAGGCCGGCTGCTGGGACAGCACAGAGGTCGAAGGGGAACAGAACGCACAGTGGGATGTAAGCTCTCTTGACCCGCTCTCTGCACCCCGGGGCTCCGAGGCAGAGCTCCCCCTGCAGAGCTGTGAACCGGTTTTGTGGAAGAAACACAATGAAGTCAAGGGGGCAACACATTCATTAGCTGTCCTACTTCTCATAACCTACAGCCCTGTTGATATTTAGAAAATCTAATAAAGGGTCCTACTGATAAATAAGACTAAGGCACAGCTATGCCAAGACAAAAACAAGCTCCAAAAAACAAACGAAAAAGACAAATTCCTTCCACTTTCTGGGGATCCACCACCCATCTGACTTGAAGAGCGAAAGGCTGGGGGCTTCATTGTGTCCTTACGAGACAAGTGTCCTTATAAAAGTTTGCAGCTTTTATTTCTCCAGTCTCCTGGTTCAGCTGGCCAACCCCCTTCTGTAAGAGCACAGACTAACCAATTCAGTCTCAGGAATCCTGGACTGTGAGATAAGCTTGCAGGTGTCCGTTTGGGGACGGGAAGGACTCTGGAAGCCCGAGCTGTTGACAATGGGCAATTTCCTGTAGCTTTACTCAAAATGTGCCGCCTGAGTCCTGATTAGCTTGTAGGGAATACGCGTTTCTTGGATGCTGAATTAGGCAGACATTATCCGGAGAGTATGCTCTGACCAGCTAGCCATGGAAACTCACCGGTGCAAAAGCAGAGTAACCAGCAGAACGCAGAGCGAAAGCAGAGCATTAATGAAATAGCACCAATCATGCAATCATTATGCTATAGCTGTTACCCTATAGTCCGTTGTGGCTTTTTGAGTATTGATTGGCAAATTTCATAAAATAAGATGGGAGGAGGAAGTAAGTCAGCTGTACTCACCATAGAAGCCAAAGGCATGTTGAAAGCCGCAAAGACCATGGTAATTCTCCAGCTCAGCTTGCGGTGGACCCAGCTGTTGTAGACTGGGATCCACTCTCAAAAACAGCCGCAAACTCAATCTCTCACTACCCAGGCTTCAGCAGAATGAATATCCCAATAAACAGGATGGAAGAAGTGCCGGAATACTCTCGACCAATGAGGAGCAAGATATCTTGGACCAAAGAACCACATCCAGGGGTCTGGTAGCACGTCCTTAACTCCTTTCTGTCTCCCTGGTACACGTGCATCAATTACCCCGTACTGCGAGATGTCCAACTGAGCCTTGCATGCCCGCATTGCTGAGAGGGACTGTCCTAGTGTCATAGCAACAGGCAGATCCTGCCCATTGTGACAGCAGGAAAGAGGAGGCGGGGCTGAGGGCGT